TCCATATTTTCAGTTACAGGCTGAGTCGTTTCTACCTTCTCTCTATCAACGCTCTCTGGTTTCATTTAAAAGAGCCAATCGTCAGATATTATCCAAGATTAACCTTCAGGGTGGATATAGCTCGCTAGCAGCCTCGCACAGATGACCTATCCATGTCATCATTTACCCAGAATGCTTTGTGTGTAAATAAAATTGTTCCGTCCATGTTAAAATGTGTTTTTAAAAATTTACAAAACGAAACAGCCTACAGTATTTTTACAGTCTTTATTTTATAGTTAAAATATATGTTTATTAAATAAAGTCTAATGTTACAACTAATCAAGGATCCCTTTAAGCTGTAATAACATTTGTGTGGACACGAGTATGTAGTAGCCACTTTAATGCAGTAACTTCCCTCTTAATCAGTAGAAAATGTGGTAAACACACACAAGTATGCATTAAAATAAAAATGCCATGATACAAAATTTTGGTCCTTCCACCCAGCTAACAAATCAGTGGAGAAAGATGACTTTTTATTCCACTCACTGCTTTGCTGACAGCCATTCTTAAGCTGGCTTCCCCTCCGAACTTCTTCACTATCATCCTGGAAACAGGAACGTAGGCCATGGGAATGACTTCAATGGGAACTCCTTTCTTCCACTGCTGGCCCAGAACCTTGGAGTCCTTTCTGGGAGATAAAACACACTTCATCCACTCCTGCACCACAAACACATCTCACCAAGGCTAAACTGTAGCCACGCTCTAAAACATTCCACGTAACAGTAAAGACAGACCTGTAGTCAGCGATGACGACAAAATGTTTCGCACAGCCGGCGACGATCTTCTCTTGCGTCAGACAGCCACTGTGAAGTGAAGAGGTCATCGGTGAGAAAAAAGCACCTTTTAGTTGAGCGGTTTGTGGTCAAAGCACACTCACCCGCCACCTTTTATCAACGTGAGCTCCGTGTCCACCTCATCTGCGCCATCAATCGCCACGTCCAACTGAAACCAGGAAGAACGTAATTTACAACATTTACACATTCCTACAGTCAGCTTCTTGGATTTATTTTTACACAAAGCAGCCAAATCCCTGCCACAGCTTTCAGATTCAGACACTGAAATAGGAAAACACTGGAATGGCCAATCACTGCGCAGGTTATGCTAACGGGATGAGAATGCTTGCCACCATACTGGAAGGTGCTACATGACATCCTTGGTTTCTGCCAGCAAGGCATTTTCGTTAAGATTTGAGGAAACTCAGCCAAGATACCTGATGTTTTGTTATTAACGTGTACATTTATCTAAACACGACTCTTTGCATTTATCTTTTATTTGAATATTTTTTATAAATAATAGTCTAATACATTGTGTACACAAAAATATGGAATCGCCACTCTTTGAGGACTTTCTTTTCAATTCAATTGTTTAATTTTGCACGTAAAAAATTTATCACATGCCACAAGAGCAATGCAATGTATAAGYACACCTGAAGAGTTCAAATTAGTTTGCCTTAATCCTAATTAATTTTAAGCAATACTTTATATTGAAGAGTTTTCACATTTAACAAAACCAGACATGTYTGTATTTTCTGTTGTAGTCTCTGTTTAATCTCCTAGTGTTTTCTCTGAATCCTTTTGTGTTCTTGTTCTGTTTCACCCGTTCACCAGTTTTTGATTGACAGCATACATCACGCATAAGGTGTTCATTTGTGTCTTTAAGATAAAAAAAAAAAAACCACAAATAACCCACAGTGATGGGCGTAGCACCTAGCAAGACGGCAACAACATATTCTTCCTCGCACCGCCTGTGCCCATTGCAGCGTGTTTCTATTTCATTACAGGTTTAATACCTCCGGGTGCCGGTCCAGGTCTGAAAGAGTGAGGCTGTGCTGCAGAATCAGCTGTCGAGCCTGTGGGAGGAGGGAGACCACAAAACCAGTAGGGGATGTGAGAAGGAGCGCCAAAGAAAGGTTGGCGTACGGGTTTCAGGTTTGAGTTACAGAAGCCAAACGTTTGGACACACAACAGATTTATCTTGATGTCATTTATCAACCTTTAACAAGACATTTAGTAACATACAGCAACATTCTCTCAAATGTGTTCAGTACTTGAACTGACCTGGAAGGAGGTGGGCACACACACAATGTTGAGTTTTTCTTGGCGCACTCTTTCCGCTGCAACAAATGAAGCACAGTTTAAAATCACAAGGTTATTTGCGAGATAAATGTAGATCAAAACCTCGAAGTTGCTTTTCACCTTTATTCAGTTTTTAATCACAGAATTTCAAGTTTATCTAGTATTAAAACGTGTTTGTTCAACCTACCTAACCTGTCCACCGCAAACACAATGGTTGAACCACTGCCCACTCCAACCACCTGGTTGTTCTATAAGAGATGGGGGGAGAACAAACAAAAAGTTAAATTAGAGTTCACAAGAAACCATTCAAAAGATGAGAAGGTGCTAACTGACCTGAGGAAGTATTGTAGAGTGTGTATTTTTAATATGATGTGTACAGGACAAGATTTTTTTTTACAATTTTACATCCTAACCCTGCTTTAAATTGATCGATTGTGTCATATTCTGGTGCGTTCCTTGGTCTTCATGATGCTGTTTGATCACTGATGCTCTCACAACAGCTGGATTTATCCTGAGAATAAATCACACACTATTTGATACATTTTAGTTGAGAGTATCAGAGTAAACTTCAGTTTGATTATTTGGATTTATTTTTTTAATGTGTCACATTTAATTTATCTCAGGTTGTGATTCCCAAGCTAGTTTAAAGCAAGCAGGAAAAGCTATCAATGAAATAAATACAATAAACACACATATAAAATCAACAAATACAACAAACAAACTAAAACAGAGAAATAAAACCAAAAGACCAAACCATAAATAATAATAGCAATAAT